GTTTAAGACATGACTGACCCCTCAATAGCCAGTAGCTTAAGAATGTATGGATAAAAATGCCTTCATGCTGTCTGACTTTAAAAATATACCCCTGGACTACAGAATCATAAGAAAATCAATATAATTCCAATAACTTGAAAAAAACTGGCATATTTTCCATATTTTTAGTTACTGCTATTTAATTACTATTAAAACCAATGGTAAGGTAAGCTGGCACTTCTATCATTTTCACAGAAATGTTAACTTGTATAATGATTCAATTACTTACTTCTGCTTTATGTCATTCACCACAATAGTTACCTCTTGGTTATCACTACTAACGGTGATGAGTCATGACAAAGGTTACCCCTCCATCCTTCATACTTCCTTCTGATATATGTGACACATTGATTTGAACAACACACTTGGCTTCCCAGTTTGGTTTCCCTTGGTTTTCTAGTTTTAGTGTATTTGTTGTTTCTTCGTGCTGTATTATTTTCTTTTTGTCATATTGCATTTACTAGATTGGCTATTTAATGGGAGGCAACAGTTCTGTGCCTGAATAAAGCCAACCTAAGATGAAACACTACTTGTGAGAAATCTATACAATAGTTAATTTCCAGATCAGGAAGCGAAAGTTGACTGCGGATCAACCATCAGAATCATTTCATTCTGGGTACTCTGGATGCAAATCTTCCTTCCAAGATACTAGTAACAGCAGATGGATCAGATACTGAACAGCATGTCAACAACACCATGATCAATAAATATGGGAATACCTTTTCCTAAACAAAAGCAAGACACCTTACTTAGCACATTATTTGCTTTATACATCTATTTCTGTACCAATCCCACTTAGTATCATCCACCATCTGAAAGGGGGTGCTAGAGTTTCTCTTAGAGACACACTCATTAAATATATGCTATGTTCTTCAAAGCACCTCAAAATTTTCTGGACCTCAAATTGGGCCACATGGTTTAATATGTATGAGTGTAATTTTTGTGAAGAAGATACTGTAAGAAATTCAAACTGTTGTAGAGACAGAAAACCAAGTCAGAAATAAAACTCCTATCCCTGTCCTAATCTTAATTTACATTTCAGAAGTATATATTCTCATTCAATGAACAAACAGCTCTGCTTCCTTCAATCCTGCACACAAACCACTCCATCAACCTTCTTTCAGAGAGGAATGCTGATCTCCACACTACAAGGTAAGAGTGTCTTCTAACCTGTGCTGGTTACATCGGTCTGGAAGACCTGTGCTTTGAGTCAAGTTTCTTTGCAGGCAGGAAAACCAAGAGGTACCTTTTGTCCACATCAAATGTTCCTTGCAGAATTCAGAATGACTTTTGGGTCAGGAAGATTTCCTGGATCAGGCCCCTTTGTCACTGAATGACAACCCGTAATCATTCTAAACTGTATCAATGAAAAAAAAAAACATATAAAGAGGGATGTTATACTCTGTATCGTGCACATGAGCATATCACGTGTTCACTTAAAAACATGTAAACCAAATCTAAGTGTCATGTCTCACTTTATCTAGAAATAGCTGCAATGTTAGTGGCTGAAGATGCGTCACGGTCCTGAAAACCAGCGATGGAGAACACCATTTCTAATTGTCTTGGCAGGTCAGGGCACTACTGTTTATGACTCCAGTACAGATAAAAGTAATTTTCCATTGGTTAATTGTTGACTTTCTAAAAAATGGAAAAAAATATGTATCTTAACTTAGGTGTTTCTTATTCATATATTGGATTCTATTTCAACACCTGCTTAATGAAAAGATTTTTTTATAGAACTTCAGCCACCCTGTTTAAAACAAATTTGACAAGAGAAGCAGTAGCACTCGTGAAGTACTGCATGTGTATAAGCATTAAATGAGTTTTCCAAAACAGGTTGGAACTCTGTTTACTGACAGGACTGTACTATAACAAAGCCAGAAATCAAAATGTTTACTTACCAACTTTCAGCACTTGTATTCAAATGGAGATTGTGGAGTCATCTTTTTTTATTAAGTGAATTTCTTCCCTTTAGAAATTGTTAGAATAAAGAGCTTCAAAGTCCACCCTTTTCATTCAGTTTAGTTTGCATTATAAAAACTCAGTCCTAAACTCCTGGTGCTGCATTTAACCTAAGAGTAGGGCTTTAAAACTGTTTTGTTCTTGTTACTTAACTATAAAATCAAGGCTGGTATGACTTGAGGGGTCTTAGAAAATAGGAGGAAGCAAGGGATAATGTAGCCCAGCAGTTTGATTTTACACTGAACAAAGAAAAACTGAGAATTGAGGAGTGAAAAGATGTTCCCACGGCCAACAAGCCATCTCTGGACCCCTAGACCAGCTCTCATTCCTATGGCATCAAAGAGCACCCTTTATCGGGAATTAAAGGGGTATTTGATCCTCCTCTCTTCTCCATAACCGTTATGCATAATTGTTTCCCTTTCAAAAAAAAATTTAAGAGAGAACAATGCATCCGTCCCTGAAAAAATTTTAGTTAAAAATTACCCTCAAATATGGTACTTTTCGTATCATTTATTATCATCTGGAAAGCAACCAAAGGATCCCAGATTCCAAGAATTCATCTCTAAATGGGTCACTTCTCTTTTTTATTTTACAACCAGACACGTATGGTGGCTCTAAGGAGAAGCTGCCTAAATTAGTTACTTATAGCTCCTGGAAGCATGCACCTCTGTATAAAATAATCACAAATAGTGCTAATTTTGCCTAGCTCTGACTTGGAAAAAATGCTATTAATCCATAACTGCACTGAGGATTCTACCTTTACAGTCTGTGTAAGAGAAGTGTTCCATACAGAAGTGCCCCTATACACGTCTTGTGAGCTTAAATGCTTCCTTCCCTGGGTGGAATCAAGATCCAGCCATTCTAAAGTCAATGCATCTTACAGGAAAAAAATATATACATATATACATTTAGTGATAACCTAATATTTGGTTTGAAAGCCCATGGCTGTCACTTCTTGACTCTTCTGCTCTTAAGAAAACCGCGTAAGATGAAGGATAGCTCCAAGATCCCCAAATGGCTCTATTTCCTGTATCCTCAGAATTATTCACTCTAAAACAAGTCAATTAAAGGTAACGTAACTTCTCAGATTTAAAAAGGTGTTGTGGAAACAATGAAATTCAATACATTTCCCCTTCCAAATATAGCCAAGCCATTACTGTTGCTATTATAATAGAATGTTCAATAAACATCCAATGCTGGAAAGCATGCACTTAAATCTATTTTAAGATATAATCTGACCTAGTTGGGTACAGCGAAAGAGAGGTGGTACCTTGTCCACAGGGTCAACTTTTTCTGCAGCAGCAGTTGTTTAATGATAGGCTAAGTTGTGTGCCTGCAAGTCAAGTTCTTGCAAAGAGCCCCAAATCAAGGAAATTAGCCATGATTTTCGCAACATCCTAATAAAGCTGCTGTAACTCATGGGTTCTACATCCCATTTCTCCTTGAGGAAGATTAAGCACTTTAGATAAAAGATCAAGCATTTATATGGAACTTACTTCAGAGTTTTCACATGTTCTCGTTTGCTTTTCCAGAACAACTGATATAACATTTGCTTTATGTGCCCCTTTCTACTCTTGAGAAAAATAGTGTGCAGAGATTAACAGGTTGACTTTGCAGATGAATGGTGACCAATGTAAATAGCCTATGGTTAGTCTAATGTTTGTCACATTTTTGCTCTGAACCCAAAATAGAATGCTATTTTGAAGTCTTGTTACAGGATGGCACTTCCTTGTTTTGTCACCCTCTATTGTCCACTAGAGATGTTTGGGGGTGTCCAATCTGCAGCCTGCGGGCTGCATATGGCTCAGGATGGCTATAAACGTGGCCCAACACAAAATCATAAATCTACTTAAAGCATTAGGAGGGTGTTTTTTTGTGATTACGTGTCACAGTGTATTCCATGTGTGGCCCAGGACAACTCTTCTTCTTCCAGTGCAGCCCAGAGACGCCAAAAGGTTGGACACCCCTGGAAGCTTCAATCAACTCTTCTGCTTGCTACTTTTCATTCTCCTTTTCATTCTCCAAAAGTGTTCTTAAGAGGTGTTTCTCTATAAGTGGCGGGGAGGGATGGGAAGAAGGACGGATCTTTGCTTTTAAACCTAATATTGTATTAACTTTGAATTTTAAATATTATTAAAAGAGAGGGATAATTTATATTACTACCAAATGATGGCCTGGGATAAAAAAGTTTGAGAAAAGCTATTTCTAGGCCTTTTTTCCCCCAAAGTTCACAGATATAAGTATTTGTTCTGTACTTAAGATGCCCTAGATAATATCTTTTCCCCAAACCCCAGGACACCCACTTTATAAAGGATAGAGGTTGAAGAAACACTGGCGAGACTAAGTCCTGTTATGTATTCTGAGTTTGCTAACCTATGTCCCATTACAACTTAATAGTGCAAGTCCCATCACTAGCTGTTCCCTCACATTCTAGGACACCTTGTCATGAGTTAAGCGCTTATATGTGCCATAAAATTCCTTTAACAAACATAGTAATAATGATGATGTTGAATTCAAATGTTCTGACACAATTCTGTCTTATACCAATGTTAGCGAATCGAATGCCAAATTCTGAGGTGATTTCCCACATTCTGCACAAACAAATAAACTTAGTAAACCTAGCACTTATGTTGCACATTTAATAGAAAGCTTTTAGGCCATAATCACTGTAGCTGCTGAGCGTCTTACTTCTTCAAGAATCTTTTCAGTGCATGCATTAGCTTTGGTTAAATTATTTTGGATTTAAAAGCAGAATATTGAAAATAGGATGGTTTCAGAAGCATCATTGTAACAGACCAATTTCAAAAGACTCAGTTGCTAAACTTGACCTCATAGCTCCTTTGCAGATCAATTATTTAGATTTAAAAAAAAAGAAGGGAATCTTGTGCTGTTATCTACTGTGGCATTTAGTCTCACACAAAGAAAAGAAGAGAACAATAAAGTAAGACTAAGAAATCATTGTTCCAATGATTGTCATTGAACTGTTACATCAGTAAACATTCACAGTATGAAGTCTCTCTCAATCTCCAGCATATAAAGTAGTAAAAAAAAACAAAATTCCAGTCCCAGTATCTGTGAACAAAACTTGTTACATTTTTCTCCGATGTCATTTCTGGCATAATGTTAGGCATTTGCTCTCACAACCTCCCAAAATTAATAACAAAATATAATCAATTTCTAAAGGCCCCTGCAGCCTTTTTAAAAGTTAATTTCCAGTTAAAAATAAACTTTAATCAAATCCAAGATAAAATTGTGACCTACATTCTATTAAATAATTCACTTTCTTTTTTTCTACACAGTAATTCTTACAATTTTTAAAAAACAACTCTGGAATCCAAAGACATGAGATGCTATTAAAGCACTCGTAAATGACTGTTCAAATTCATTAGTTCTTACATAGTAAATACTTCAAAATGCCAACTTTCCCATCACTGCACGATTACTAACAATGTTGACAATTTACTTACACACACACAGCACACACACAAACACACACAGCCTCTCCATGGAACCATCTCTACTTTTAACATCGCTTCCAGTTAATGTGCAAAACTCTTGCATTCTAATAAAAAATATAAAGGTCAATTTGCTCCTATTTAAACCTCCCTCTTCTCCAAGATATATCATTTATTCGATATGTAATACAAGTTTAGCAATAATTATGCCACGTATAACCATTAAATGGTGTACTACTGTATGCATTGGATTCATTTGCATATTTCATTTTCGTAACTGCACTCTTGATGCATAAATATATTTGGAGATGCTGGGGTAGGGGCAGGGGGCAGTGGCAGACGGAGAGCTAGATTCACACATCGGTCTCCACAGCCTTCGCGTTAGAACAGTTGTTTTTATCTGTCTCACTGTCGTCCCCCTTTCCCTGACATTTCTCCTTTGCACAGAGAGACTCCTTAACTCCTTCTTCCATCTCTAGATACTCTGACTTGTCTCCCAGAGAGGAAGAAGTGGAGCTCCGGAATTTCTTCAGCAAATTAGAAGGGAGGTATGGACAACTGACCGCGTTTTGGGTCAGCTGTGTCTGTTCCTCATTTTCAGTCTCTCTGTGGTAGAAGTAGTTAAAGTTAGAGACAATCACCGGCACTGGCAAAGCAATGGTTAAGACACCTGCTATGGCACACAGGGACCCCACAATCTTGCCCCCCACAGTGATGGGCCTCATGTCCCCATAGCCCACAGTTGTCATGGTCACCACGGCCCACCAAAATGCATCTGGGATGCTTTGGAAATGGGTAGTACGTTCATCGGCCTCCGCGAAATACACAGCACTGGAAAACAGGATGACCCCAATGAAGAGGAAGAAGATGAGAAGGCCCAGTTCCCGCATGCTGGCTCTGAGGGTGTGGCCCAGGATCTGCAGGCCTTTGGAGTGCCGGGAGAGCTTGAAGATCCGGAACACTCGGACCAAACGAATGATCCTGAGGATGGCGAAGGACATGGCCTGCTGCTGCTGGCCGCTGCCACCCCCCTGCTGCTGGGCCAGGTCAGTGCCCAGCGTGATGAAGTAAGGCAGAATGGAGACTATGTCAATGATGTTCATGATGTTTTTGAAGAAGAGTGCTTGGCTGGGACAAGCGAAGCAGCGAACCACGAACTCAAAGGAAAACCAAACAATGCAGACCGTCTCCACGATGAAGAAGGGGTCGTTGAATATCGTGTGCCCTGAGTTCTCCAGGTGGGGTGTCGAAGTGTCGTTCAACAACCCACTCTGCCCACCCGCACTCAGAGCCATGATGAAATCCCTGTCGTCCCGAAACTCAGGCAAGGTCTCCAGGCAGAAAATAACAATGGAGATTAGGATGACCAGGACAGAGACAATGGCTATGCCCCTTGCTGGACTGGAGCTCTCTGGATACTCGAAGAGAAGCCAAATCTGCTTTTTAAATTCATTCTCTGGCAAGGCCCTGTCTTCCTCCTCTCTCACAAAGCCCTCGTCCTCCCGAAACTTGAGCAGAGCCTCCTCTCCCAGCTGATAGAACTTCACCTCCTCCGTGAAGATATCACAGGGGACGTTCACTGGCCTCTTCAGGCGGCCTCCTGATTGATAATAATACAAGATGGCATCAAAGCTAGGCCTGTTCCTGTCAAAAAAATACTCGTTACGCAAAGGGTCAAAGTACTGAGTCCTCTTCTCAGGGTCCCCCAACAATGTCTCTGGAAACTGGGCCAGAGTTTTCATCTGGGTCTCAAAGCGCAGGCCGGACACATTTATCACCACGCGCTCGCAGCAGTCACTGTAGCGGACTGAACTGTAGCCACCGCCGCCCGCCTCGTCCTGAGGCAGCAGGTCCGTGTAGGAGCACTCATCGCCACGGTCATCTTCGCTGTAGTAGAACCTTCCCTCCTCTTCCTCCTCCTCCTCCAGCTCCTCCTCCTCCTCCTCTTCCTCACTCAGCTCCCTCAGGATCTTCTCCTCGGAGCCACTGGGCATCAAGTCCGTGCAATGAGAAAAACTGCTCTGGCGGTGGTGGGCTTTCTTCTTCTCAGGCTGCTGTCGCCTCCTCTTCCGACTACGTCGGCTGCTCTGAGGGTCATGGGAGGTGCAGGCCCCACGAGACTGGTGGTGGTGGTGGGAGCCCCCTCCAGAGCCCCCGCTGCCCTCCACAGCAGCTGTGGCAGCCGCGACAGCCGCTGCGGCCGCCGCCCTGGAGTGAGCCAGCCTCTCCCGCTCCCTGGCCCGAGCCTGGGCCGCGTAACCGTAAGGCATGTGACTGTTGCACCCTGAGCTCTCCGCACTCACCATTGCAACCTCCATGGTGGTGGTTTGGGGAAATGGCTGCTTCCAGTTGTGGCAGAAGAAAGAAAAATAGGGCAGCTTCTTTTCTCACCAAATTAAGGTAAGTTTGGAACACTTAAGCAGATTGCTTGGAAGACTAAGGATATTTTCAGTCCAACTTTGCATTTTCTGTTTTTAAATCAGCACGCCCCATGCTCTGTCTTCCCAGGGATTCAGCATTGCTCTCCAGAGCTTGGCCGGTCTAGATAAAGAGTCTAGCACTCTCAAGCCTAAGTCAGATAATGTTGGGGTCTCCCAAACACCTGTTTGGGGGTGGGTGTTCAAATCTGGAAATCCATGTAGGACGTGGTTGGTGATGGTGCTGTTAGACTCAAAGGCAGCACGTCTCTGACAACTAGCAGTTGTGCCTAGAAAATGGAATATATTTTTCTGCCATGGAAACTGTCCAACGCTCAGTCCATCAAATTTAAATAAAATGCAAATAAGCCTTTAGTCTCAGCACTTGCCTTCCAGTGACTGCTTCACCCATGTTAACATGAGGCTTGAAGTATGTCCGGCCATTGCCACTCAAACCTATCGGATGATTCTCCAGGCTCCCCCTTAAGCTCCTCACAGTCTTCCTGGACCCAGGGGCAATGCCAAGCTACAGAGAGAGGCAAAGACCTTGGGTAGAGAAGGTGCAAGATGATGAGGTGTCAGCAGGGGCAAACCCAGCTCTGAGGTCTCCATAGAAATCAAGGAAATGCAGAGCATCCTTCAGCTAAAATCATGCAGAAGAAGCACTTCACCTGAAAAAGGAAGGAAAACAAGCACAGAAGAAAAATAAAAAGAAGAATCAAATCATAAAAAAAAGCAAACTGAGCATTTCCTTCACATAACATTTCTTTCTGTTGTCCTCCAGCAAACCATACAGAGCACCAAGCAACCTTGAATTTCCAAGGAGAATGGGGCAGTTTGTTAAATCACCTTCTGCCTAAACGTCCTTCTTTCCTTCCTCTTTAGGTATCATTTCAGCTCAGTGTGTTTTCATGTCAGTCTGATCAGTCCACAAGAATAATGCTGTCACTTTACAGCCCCTTCCGTCATACATTGATCTCAATGCATTTTCAAAAATTTCCACACATAAAATATTTCTGAAATTAGTGTCCTTCCACACCCTCTCTATCTCGATTTGGGATTTTAAAAATCAGGAAAAAAACAAAAAAAACAAAAACAGCCTTCTTTAATCCAGGCTCCAGCACTTGAACAAGCTTCAATCACCTCATCTACGAACTATGGAAAATGCAACTTCCCCATCCCACCTTTGTAAGGATTAAATGAGATAGTGGGTATTGACAGAATAAACCACTGACTTGTACATAGTGAGTATCAAAAAATCCTGGTAGTGCCCTGGCTGGTGTAGCTCAGTGGATTGAGTGCGGACCTGCAAACCAGACAATCGCAGTTCGATTCCCAGTCAAGGCACATACCCAGGTTGCAGGCCGGTTCCCTGCAGGCCAATTCCCAGCAGGGGATGCATGAAAGGCGACCATACATTGATGTTTCTCTCCCTCTCTCCTTCCCTTCCCCTCTAAAGATAAATAAATAAAATTTAAAAAAAAAATCCTGGTAGTCATTAAGAACATGACAGGAATTTAACCTTTCATTAGCTATGAACCCGTCCCCTAATCTGTATGTTCCTACACCGCTGTCTGGAGTAGGGGAAGGACAGATCTGAGGCCATCCAGGACATTTTGAGACTCACCAGTGGCCTGTATTAAGTTGGCACTTCCTGACTCCCTGAAGCACGTCCCTGCTATTGTTTTCTGTTCCTGAGACTGGAGAACACTCCCTACCACCCACAGCCCAGGAGCTAATCCCAGTTTCCACTTCTCTAATAACCATTTTCTCTCCTTGCAGTTCCTCCATGTTCATCTCAATGTTTCCTCCTACACTCTTCTCAAGGGACTATCTCCTTATGTTTTTTTTTTAAACCCAGTTTGTACGGACTTTGTTTGCAGCCTGCCTTACCCCTGCCCCCGCCTTCATTTAGTCAGCAGCTCCCATCCCTTACCTTCCCCTCTCTTCTCTCTCTCTGCCCACCTTTATGTTCAGTCTCCCACTTCCCCATCACATCTTCCCTGCAGCCTGCTCTGTCCCCACTGTCACTTGGTTTTTCTGGCCTTTCTTCTTCCTTAGCTGGGCTCTCCCCAGGTCCAAGTAATTCATCTCCTCCACCAGGACCCGTAAAAGCTCCTGCCCCAATTGTCTGTCTCCTCTTGCTTCTTCCACTCACTCTGTCCAACAGGACTTCCAAGAACGCAGAAGAGTGGCCCAGAGAATTGGGGAGGATAACGACAGAATCCAGGGCATCTACTAGCTTCTATTACTGGCAGCACTTGAGCAGCATAAGAAAAATGGTTTTTCTGGAGCCATTAATGGGATTCAGCTCTTGACCACCTGCTGCTTGCTCCTTGCTGAATTGTGTCAGCCTAGAAGCTTAAACACACTGAGTTTTATGAAGTGAGAAGCAGGAAAGTGGCAAAAATATATCCCTTCCTACGCATTCTTCTAAAGTAAGAGGTGAGCTTGACTGGACACAAAACCCAGAAAAATACACCTGTGAAGAAGGTCTCTCTCTCAACAGACATCCCTCTTCCTTTGCCTGACTCCTAACCTCATCTCATACTCTAAAATGTTTACCCTCAGGTGGTCTCTACATCTCTGTTTTCACCATGGAGGGTCAGGCTGACATCCTTTAAATGCTTTCGCAGGCCAAATAGTTCGAGAGTTTGCTCAGTTACTTCTCCAACTCCCTCAAAGCAATTAAAATACACCATCTAAATAAAGCCCCAGTGTAACCGAAGTGTCTGTAAATTTGTACACTACGTACACCGTTGTCCTGCCCAAATGACTCCCAGAAGGTCATGAATTAGAGGGTCTTCTAATTCTCCATCAATCTGCAGGAGACCTAGAACTGGCCTATTTTAGCTCTACACCAAATAATTTCTTATTTATTTAGGTTTACTAGTTTTGGCTCATCCAACTCCCCCAGCCTACAAAAAAACAAATTACCTTCCTTTTACTTGGCTACCAGCTACCTCACTATTCTCTAATCTTAAAAGGAGAAAGAAAGAAAAAAAGAAAGAAAACATAGGAGGAAGAGGTGGAGGAGGAGAGAAAGAGGAAAAGAAAAAAGAAAAAAAAATCCTCCCCCAAAATCAGGCTGGGTTAAAAATCTCTCTTCCTCCTCAAGGTATTCATGTTAGGAGAATTATTCAAGCCAACTCCCAGGAGCCTTTATAATAGGGGAGACCTCTGCATGGAAATATTTCCCTTCCTCTTTAACACCATCAAACTAATAGGATTTCACAGACTGCCAATTCCTGAGTCCTGTTCCCCCAAACAACAGCTATACATCCCGCCCCTCCTCCTCTCACCCCCAACAACAAGCTGTTTGCATTTCTCAGGGCTAATTTCCACAACTGTGTTAGGATGGTACATGAACCTTATCCGAGGGAGAGAGTGAGAGAAAAGCGAAAGATTCAGAGAGAGAGAATCAGAAAGGCTAACACCGGTGAGATTTATACACTTCAACACACGCCATTTAAACAGTCCCTATGTGTTGCTCAAATGCTCAGAAAATGCACGCAAATCCAAATGTGGGGAGAGGCAGCAATTCAAACCCGTTCACCAGCTGTTCCCAAAGGAACGGAACCAGTGAGTCTGGGATGAGGCAAAACGATGCTAAATCTAAACCCCACCTCGTTGGGAAACGACATCTTTAATCACACCCTCGCCTCAGACCTAGGTTCCCGCTCGGGCACGTTAAGCAGGGCGCACGCACCCATCCATGGGGTTGGGAAAATAACAACTGTTGGCCCCCCGGAGCGCCACGCATCATCTGCACCTCCCTTCTCCCACCTCCTGGTTTATTTTTAACCGCCTTCCATTCATGCCCTTCTGTCACATTCCCGATATTATTTGTCTCTCAAATGTCCAGTTTCTTAACAGCCAAAAGGAGAGAGGAGACGATAAGAGGCATCATACTTACCGTTCCCAGGAGGGGTGCAAAATAAAAATAAGGACAATCCCCCGGTTGGTTTTGATTTCCCCCCCCTCAAGCTGCAACAGCTGGAGGAAGGGAAGAACGATCTCGGGGGTGGAAGGAGTCACGCCTGTGTGGCAGGTGGAGGCTCCAAAATATCCACGGAAGAAGTTCCGCTGCCTGGCCAGGGGGGCACAGAGTCCTCGCTGCTGGAGCCCAGGTGTGGGGATCTGGGCTGCCCCAGAGAAGACCTCCAAGACTTCTGGTTCCTCTGGAGTTCAGCACAGCAGGGCTCGACTGGAAAAGGAAGTCAAGGTTCCCCCAGAAAAAGAGCAAAATCCTAGACAGCACCGATCACTTGTTAAGCCCGAATTCCTCCAACATCCATCCCTCTCCCTCTCGCTCTGGCTGCAGAAGCAGCACACGCCTCCCCTGGCCGAGAACGCGCGCCGGCCGGGGGCGGGGCGAGGGCCGTGCCGAGGGCGTGGCGTTCACCGCGGGCGCCTGGGGCGCCTCCCGCGTGGCGGGGCGGGTGCAGTCAAGACTGAGACTGCTCGCCCGGGGTCAGGCCCCCAGATGCTGAGGATCAGGGGGAACCCCTGGGAATCATTCCAGGAGCCCCTGGCTGTCACCTTCGGCAGCGAGAAAATAATCACGGGGGAAGAAAAGTCCCCTTTGGACGTGAAATGTGGGTCCCGACGGCAGATCCGGAGCCTAGAAAGAGGCTGGGGGACTGACCTCGACGGGAGGTCCAGCCTCGACAACAAGGTGCCCCTGGGCGTCTTTTCATCTCCTTGTCCCGCTGTCTCTTCAGTTCCTCTGGCACCCCTACCTAATAACGAGTTTGTGGGATTGGGGGCCCGGATGCAACTCTGGAGGGGCCCCTGGTCAGGAGCCCTCTAGTCACCTGCGACTGTCCCCAGAGCTCTCTTTCTCCGCCTCCTTTGCACAGTTTGTGTGGCTCAAACAGCGGGTTGGGCCTCCAGGGCACACATGGACTTTGTATGTGTTTCACCCAGAGGGGTGGATCACAGAAACTGGAACCCGGACCAAGCTAAGGGCTGCGCACGGGAGGCACTAATCCGAGTGGGAAAAAGTCGAAGGCTCTGAGCAGGTTGCAAGTCTGGCTTGGGGGCAGGGCGAGGCAAGGCGAGGGTTGGGGGGAAGTCCTCCTCCTTAAACCTGTTGCTGCGAAAAGAAACACGACTCCACCAGAGGCTTGGATCTCAGCTGGAGGTCTCTGTCGCAGGGGTAAAAAACGTACTACTCCGTAGGTAGGTGAGTGCGCCTACAGCTGCGTCCTCACCTCGGGATGGATGTCCAGGTTGCTTATTAGATGCACGAAATGCTCTGAGCGTGGGTGAAATATACAATTCCCGTGAATACATCACAAGAAAGGACAGCGGTGGTAAGTGCGAGTGAATGTGCAGGCACACAATCAGAACCTCGGGCTGCGACCGAGGCCCCAACCTCTCCTCCCTGCACCCCTCCCCCCCCCACACACACACACTGTGGGCCAAGCAAGCACTGGTGGCACCCTCTGGGGCTGTTGAAGAAAACCGACCTTGGGCGGGTCATTTGGCACTGAGGCGGTCACTGTAGTCCTCAGCTGGCAGCTTTGTTCGTGGGCCTTATTGGGCCTCTTCCTTTTGTGGTGCTCGATTAATTATTAAGAGAAATATTCCTGAGCTGAATTATAGATATGCCCTGCGCTCGCTCACCTATCTGCCGCTGGCTCCATGAAGGACACCGGGAAGACTG